ATACATAAAATGTCCTTATAGGATTATAAGGTTTAAAATCACGACAAAAATATATAAAAGAAATTACTTTTTCGTGTTGACAATAAAACAGGTGTAAAATTACATTGCCACATGTGCATAAAGCTATAAAAAATTTTCTTTTATTTTTAGATGTTATACATAAAGCTTCATAATTTCTAGATATGCTCCTAAATATTTAATATTTTATTAATACTAAAAATCTTTTAATAGAATTTTATGTCTTTGAATCGAGTGCATATTGCGAGTATACGTGCACAATAATTTTTCTACTAGTCTCAGTTTTTCCTGTATAATCAAAAGATACAAGACCCTACAAATAAAAAATTACAAAATTTTGCATTAAAAAAATTGAGGCAGTTGGAAAGATTTTTATAAGAGATTCGAAATTTATATAAAAAATGCTTTTAAAACCAGAAAATTGTATTTTCTGTGAGAACAATTTTTCTTTTGTAAAATATTTCTGGGAAATGCTAAGGATATTATATGCATAAATTTTTTTGAATGCGGGACAAAAAGGTAATAATTTTTTTTTTTAAAAATTGAAATATGCTTAAAAACAAAATATAAAAATTAGTTTTACTCTGTATATATTCACTTGTCTGTTTATTTACAAAAATTCGGCCTCTTTTAAAAAAAAATCTGAAATATTGAGAAAAAATTTCTATACGGGTAACATAGAATTTCAGTTAAGTAAAAGAGAATTAATCTCTTAATTAATCTGGAGTAGACAATCAATCACCGTTCGCTTCTCTTTGTAGCGTTATAAATCAACAAAATTTTAAAAATGCTAATCTTTTCATAATGTGCAAAAATTGAGCAGTGTTTTTATACCCGTACGAACGTATGTTCGAAGGGTATACTAAATTTGCCTTACCGTTTGTAACGCTAAGAAATAACGGTCCTAGATATAGACTCAAGTGTATGTTTTTGATCAGCGTCAAATTCTGAGTTGATTTAGCTTTGTCTGTCCGTCCGTCCGTCCGTCCGTCCGTCCCAACGATAACTCAAAAACTAATTGAGCTAAGTTCACCAAATTTTCACAAATGATTTATTGTACTAAGTGCCAGAACCCTATTTAAATTGGACAAGATCGGGGTACCGTTCGGGTAGCTGCCATACAACTTCAAAATTTATTTGGCTGTATCTCAGAAACTATAAAAGCTATGGTATTGAAATTTCACACAAATGAATATATTGATAGGGCCAATGTGTCTGATAAAATTCGTTGAAATTACTTGGCTCCTTCCGGTACCTGCCATACAACTTCAAAAGTTATTTGTCTATATCTCAGAAACTATAAAAGTTATGGTATTAAACTTTCACACAAACGAATATATTAGTAGGGCCAATGTGTCTCATAAAAGTCGTTGAAATTACTTGGCTCCTTCTGGTACCTGCCATACAACTTCAAAAGTTATTTGACTATATCTCAGAAACTATAAAAGCTATGGTATTGAAATTTCACACAAGCGAAGATATTAGTAGGGCCAATATGTATGATAAAAGTCGTTGAAATTACTTGGCTCCTTCTGGTACCTGCCATACAACTGCAAAAGTTATTTGGCTATATCTCAGAAACTATAAAAGCTACAGTATTGAAATTTCACACAAACGAATACATTAGTAGGGCCAATGTGTCTCATAAAAGTCGTTGAAATTACTTGGCTCCTTCTGGTACCTGCCATACAACTTCAAAAGTTATTTGACTATATCTCAGAAACTATAAAAGCTATGGTATTGAAATTTCACACAAGCGAATATATTAGTAGGGCCAATATGTCTGATAAAATTCGTTGAAATTTCTTGGCTCTTCCTGGTAGCTGCCATACAACTTCAACAGTATTTTGGCACAGACAGTATTTTGAAAAACACATTGTACTGAAATTTTGCATAAATTAATATACGGCAACTCCATAGTCAGTTATGGCATCTTTATTCGCACATAGGATAACAAATTCGTACGGGTATCACAGAGTTGACAAGGTCAACTCTATTTTTTTCTCGTTAAAATTAGTTTTCTAGTACTTCTGAAAATAAATTAATGAAAGTATGCCGAATATTTGATTAACCGCTAAAATTAATGAGATTTTTCAAGTACTTTCTTTAATTTATTTTATTTTATGTGATAGCTATGAAAACTTTTTTTAATATTTTTCTTATTTTTCGAAGATATCATTTTCTGTTTAATAAAGTATTATACGATATATGTGAATATACTTCAATATTCAATTATGTACTAATTTATTCGAAAGTTGGTTATAATAAATTTGTATTTCCTTTTGAAAGCAAAAAGGTAATCTTCCGTTCTTGTATTCATAACATCGAATAAAATCTTAACATTCTTTGTTAGAATTGGTCAACAATGTTATTTGAAAGTTTATACTGGTACAGAGTTTATTTAATTCTTTTCAATTTTTTGTTATTTTATAAACAATTGGTTCAATCAACTGAATATATTTGTAATTTTTAGAACATAATTTTGTTAGCTTTACGTATTCAATAATTTTTTTCCTTATAGATCTTAACTACATAATGTGTATATATGTGTAAGGCAAATTTCATAAGTAAAACCACCCATACTACCTTTCCCAAATAAAAACTTCAATTAGAAAAATTTATTCATCCTATCATCAGGATCTATCAGAGAAATCTCTTTCGTATATGCATACCTGTATGTTTCTTTTATCTTAAAAAAAACTTGAAATTCAGAGAAATTATTGTACCCCTACGGTTTATGTTTTCTTTTTTTTTAGTTTTTTATTTTAATGATTTATTTATACACACCAATACATTAAATTTAATTTTTCCTTTTGTATTTATAGTTTTTAAAAATTATTACTTATTTTCTAATTTATATGTATATTTTCGGATCAGTAATCAAAACCCTCTTACTACATAAATATGCAGTGAAAAAAAAAATGTTATTGTCATAAAGAAAATATTCACGTATCATCAGGGTTTTATTTTTCATAATACATAACATATAAATACCTCATACACATATATGTACCACATTATTATTATTTATTTATTTAAAATAAATATAAGAAATATGTTGAAGAACAAAAAAAAAGATCTCTCTAAGGATATATAAGGATATTCAAAATGACGTCATCAACAGAATAAAAATATGTTTTATACATACAGAATTTTCCTTTTTAGATTTTTTCAAAAAAGAAATTTTGAAAAAAAATGCTTATTAGTTCACTTTGTTCGTCCGTCCATGAACAAGTTTAAAAAACTTCTACACACTTGAAGAAAGCTGAAATTTTTAGTGTAGAAAGGTCTTTACTGGAAAGTTATTTCCATAGAAGAAAATGTTTACTTATCTCTTTCTTTCTAAAAGCTAAAGCCCCTCATAGATCTAAAAATGTCATTTTAGCAAACGCCAAAAAGTAGTGTCCGGCTTTTTCTATCAGCATAACTAAATATAATAATAGCAAAGTGGCTGCCCAAAATAACTGTTATCTAAAATCTATTTTTTTCGAGTTTTTGATACCCTTTTTCTCCTAGAAATGTTAGTAGCTTTTAGACACTAATAAAGAGGTTAATTCGTTAGACGAACATTTTTTTTCCACCTCCACCCCTTCTCAAAAAGAAAATTCATTTGTAAGATTTGGGTCTTTTTTTTGGATTTTAAAATATAATAACATTGTCACTTTAATTTCTCGTAATTCAATTGTAAACTAATGGTAAATTCCATGTCTTCAAAAAATATAATTATTTTTCTTAACGCACACAATTAACCCTTAAATTCGAACATTACGTTAACGTCTTTTTAAATTTTTTTTTTTCGTTTTATTGTAAAGATTGTATGTACATCCTAAAAGTATGCAATTTTTGAAATATATTCGTATAAGAATGAAATTAATTTTAATAACGTAGTAGATTGATTTTAAAAGCAGCATTTTCACTTGTTGAAGGTAAAAGTACTACATTACAGAACATTGGTTTGAACTAACTTCATTTTTTATAACTTTTAAAATCTTTTATTCTATTTTCGGATATCTGCAACTTCTCGAAATTATTTTATATTATTTTATTTTTTTATTTTTTAAAATTTCCCTTGCACTGATTTGCTTTATTTTACAAAACAGTAGGGTCCTGTGTAGAGGAAAAAATTGTGTATTTAAATAAAAAATAAAATGAAATTATTTTCGAATATTTTTCCATTTAATAATTTTTCTTTTGAAAACCATTTTATTTTCCATTTTTTTTTATTAAATAAATACTCCTACAATTCTTTTGGAATACGCTTGAGTTAATCCTATGTTTTTATAATGCGATGGTGTTTAAGAGTCGATAATAAGATTCCTTTAAAACCACTAAGGATTGGATTGAAAAACAAAAGTATAAAAAAAGAGAGTTTATTAACCAACAAGTTTTTTCGTTTTTTTCTGCAATGTTGTTTTTTAAAATTAAAATAATTTTGATTTTTAAATATTAAGAAAAAAAAGGAAAACAAGTTGAAAAATGCAATCATTTTTTTACGTGGGTATAAATGGTTTATAACTTTCGCTATCGTAATTTCAATTAAAAAAAATATTAGATAATTAAAAATCTTTAAAATTTCAGATAAAAATGAAATTTTTATGACATAATAGTAGAGTGTTGTTGACCATTATCCACTAATACAATATTAAAAGTAAGAAAATTTTGTTTTATTCTTAAATTCTTGGTGCGACAAAAGTGTTAAATTGGTATAACTTTTACTACTGATTGCCATTTTTCGCCAAAATATTGTTTGGCAACTGAATCTTGTCAAAACTTGTTATGTTATCAATGTTTGAGTTACTACTTCTAATATTTTGTATTTATTTTCAAGTTCTTCTTCACATTTATGATACAATAAATTTCATAACAAAAAATTATTTATTTCAAAACTAACATTAATTAATTAACAAAAATTTCTTCTTGCAATTCTTTCTTCATGTGGCTTGTCAATTATAATATTTTTTATAAAATTTTTATTAACTTACCATTAAGACATCGATTTTTATCTAAGAATTCATCACGAAATGCATCTATACGCCGATCAATATCAGCAATTTTTGGTGCTTCTATTGATGAAAAAATTGATGCTCCCAATATTAAAAACACTGCATAACCACCGATTAATAATAAAAATCGAAATTTATTGTGCTTTTGGTTCGAATTTGAACCTTTGGCACCAAGTGGCCATGCTCCCAGTAACATTCTGAAAGAAATTAAGAAAAAACTATTTATATATATAAAATTACAATGATTTGTTATTTTTTAAGAAAACAGTGAAAATTTTGTGCTGTTCGGTGTTTAGGTTAATTAGAAGAAATTTATTTTTGAGGTTTTTGTCTTTTTCGTTTTAAAATAAAATAAAATTGTCAGTTTAATTTCTCGAAATTCAATTATCATCAAATTAAAATTTCAATAAGCCCGTAGTTGCATTTATAATAATGGTATTTAGCACCATCTCCTTTGAACTGCATTTCGCCCACATTATTAATACGAGCTCCATTGCATGAATTAAGAAAAATAATTTTTTTTTATAATGGCATGGTATTTGTTAACAGTGACTTTCTACACTTACAGAAATTTGAAAAAGCTTGCAGCTTCGGAAATATAAGTTGCCAAAAATTCAAATTTTCCAAATTTCCGAGAGACGATTACTTGAGCGAGTGGAGATTGAAGGATTTTCTTTTAACGAAATGAAGAATTTATTAGTGTATTAGCTAAAATTTGAAACTCCTGCAACTTGCGGTTTAGAAGACCCAGTGTATCAAAAATCTGGAAAAAATGAATTTTTGATAACGTTAAATTTTAAATTATGCCGCGGTTGGAAAAACCAACTACTAGTTTTCTGCGTTCACAAAGCTTGCAAAATGCTTGTGGTTTAACTGCAATGAATGGTTGAAAAATGGAATTTTTAGGGCTTTATAGGGCTATAATTTTTAGAGAGGGGAGGGGGGTAGGAGATTCCATGTAAATTTTCTGCTAAGGAATAAGTTTCTAGTAAAGATCTATATACATATGGAATTTCATCTTTCTATTTTCAAAGATATAGAAGTTTTGTAAACATGTCGGTCCTTGTACTGTAAATTCATTCAAATTATAAATATAGACTGGAGCATCGAACATTAAAAATAGAAAATTTTTTAACAATTATCAAGTTAATTTTGTTATTTTAAAGCAATTGTTACCGTAAAATGCTAATGGGAATGCTTATAAGTACATATATTACCTAATATAGCACTTTAAGTCAAATAAATCGGTATATTCTTGTTTTATAGCAAAAATATATTCTCCACCCGAATGTTTTAATTAAATAAACAACTATATTCTAATATTAGTTCAATGTTATGCTTTTATAAATGCCTCGAAGATAAAATCTATTTCTAGAACCTTTTGTAATTTTACGAAAAAGTTCATGTTTTTTATTTCGCCTTGTAAGATATTTAAAAAATTTCAAACCCTACATAATTGTGTTATAGAAGAAAATTTTACCGATCCGGAAAACCCAGTTAATGTATATAAGAGTTCATTTGTATGTATATATATATATTCAAATTATATATTATATATATATAAGTATACAATCTTATACTCTAATGTATTAAAAAATTATTAAATTTAAATTTAAATGAATTTCTCCTTAAGAAATTTTTCTATATTTGTAGAAAAGAAGTGTGTTAATAAAATGAAAAACAGGAAAATATTTTTTTTGTTTTTTTTTTTGTTTTTTCCAAAGTCTGTTAGCAATTAAGTAATAATTCTTCTTAATATTATTACCCGCTTAGTTTCATACTAATATAGAGGCAACCTAAAGAAAATCAAAAAGAAAATTTATAATTAAAAATTAATTCACCTGAGGTTGCAAATACAATATGCTTTATAAAATAACATTGTTTAAGCTATGATGGCGTAGAATCTATAAACCTATTCAATAGAACTTGTTTATGACATGGTAGAGGGTTATTCAGTATGAACACATTTGAAATTCATTAATGAAATAAAATGAAGAAACAATTGAGAAAATGGAAATTTTTTTATTTAAATTTAAATTGTCTTCAGTTCAATTAATTATGGAGTAGAATAGGCCTCCTTGGTTTTCGATAATTAAAATTTCAGTCACTTTATACAAAATTTAGTGCTTGAACAAGATTTTATTCTAGCAATAAATCGATTGTTTGACAGACTAGAATGATTCTTTGTTCAAGAATAATTTAAGACTATGCATTTCAGTTGTAAGTACAAAATTCCGGTTAGCATTTTAATATAGCGCAATATACCGAATTACGTTATACTCACTTTTACTGAATGAAAATATTTCTCATGAACAATTTTGCTTATTTATTTGCTTCACTCCAATAACGACAACTTTATTAATATTGGTATTTACAGTGAGATGATCATAAATTAGCCATCCTATAGGTATTTCAAATTTCGATAACAGAATGGTTATATTAATGACCATTTAATGTCATTAATTGATGTTAATGAATTAAGTAAACGATATTAAGATATAATCTTTCCATGATAAAATTTTAAACTGTACTGAATAAAACTCACGCATTGCCACATTAAGTAATTCAAAATTTAGTCAGGATAGTCCTATTGAAAAACACGTTATGTATATTGCATATATTTGTAGTAGAAATGGCTATGAAAAGTGAAAATTTCATAATTTAATAAAATATTTTTTTATGTTAAGTGAAGAATAATTGAATAAACTGAACTGTATAGCAGAAACAGAATTTAAAAGTTTCCCATTATCTATTCTGTTCTTTTGAGAGAGTGAAAAATTTTCTTTTTAGGAAATCTGCTTCAACTCAGAAAATACGATATTATGAAAATATAATTCTCTAAAAGAATTTTATTCGCAAATTTTATTAGAAGTAATCAACAAAATATCAAAACTTGTGCAAATATACCATTTTTGGGTTCATGCAAAAAATGAAATACGTGGCGATATTCGATTCATTATTAATTTAATGTTAAGCTAGTTGTTTGTCAAGAAAATAAATAAAGTTTTCGCATTATCACATTCAAGTTCCCATTAAATGAATTCGAGTACAATTTAAAGTTGAAATTTACGAAATTTATACTCTTGCTCATCTAAAATAGAACAACTTGAGGTTTTTAATATTGTATGGTCTTCATGTGAGTATGTGATGAATTATTTTATCTAAACACGTTCTATATACTTAATAAAAATGATGTATTTGCAAATTACTTTTTCTATTCTTGCTGAAATTATCATAATATAGAATTAAATAAGAAAATGTACATTTTATATACATAATATAATATATGTATGTACTTAATGTTGATTAAGTAAATTTTCTTTAATCACAAAACATCTATTATTTATTTATAGTTTGATCTCATATATATATAACGAGTATAATTATATAACAAACATGTATATGCAACATACCGTTACATACGATATGTAACTGATGTTATACATCATTTAGGAAATTAAATAATATATGTATATATATTAGTGTTTCACTAAATATCAGTATGTTGCTTGGTGGTGAACCAGTGATGTAAATATAAAGTGAAAACGAAATATTTTGGAAATTAATTAATAGCTTTGTGTATGGGGTACAAGAACTGAAAATGAAATATTGCATCACATCAAAATCTTCAGTAGAGTAGCTATTCAAAAAATCGTATAAAATTTAATATTTTGTAAATAAAATTTAATATTTTTTTATTTAAGGTTATAACACTTTATTGAATACAAAATAAATAACCCTAAAGAAATTCTTTAAAATAGATCATTAAATATTAGGAAAAATAATACAGATAATTGAACTAATAGTTTGTAAAGGGATGGGCGTATTAAAATTATATACGTATTACTAATTTTTATTGCATACATTTAGGGAAGGTATCATATGAAAAAACATTATATTTGAAAAAAAAACAAGAAGAGAGTAATAGAATGCATGTGTGGTTAGGAAAGGTAGCTTTTTATAAATTTACTTACTTTACTAGATCAGGATCGTAACAAAGCTAATTTCTTAAAAAAAAGCTAAAACAAACAAATTTTGAAGAAAATGAATATTTTAATATTGAAAACCATAATCGAGGCAATAGCTCAGAAATAAAATTTGAATTAAAAGAGGCTAATAGAAAACAAAATTAATTTAATAAAGTATTTATTTTTATCTACTGCCTGCCTGCACCTTATAGACTCGCTGTTTCGAAAAATCAAATTCGATTGGACATTTTAGCTTTTTCTTATAATATTGTTCTCAAATAGAAGTTACAAATTCTAGAACATAGCGTAAGCAGAATTCACAATACGTAAAATTCTCGTTTCAGAACTGGAAAAGCCAATATAAATTGGGCATTTTGATAGGACTTTCATATCGAAAATCTCGGAGGGTGATAAATGAAATTTTTTTTCTAGAAAAGTAATTTTCTAAGTGAGATATACACATGCAGGTGAAATATTGATATTTTATTTCGAAACTTTGTAAGGAAACGCATTGTCTATGAGGTGGTGTATAGACGGAACATATGAATAAATTCCAAGCAGGTCACTAGCATTCATTAAACTTTAATTTGGTAATTTAACTATGGATTACAAAATTTTAATTTGTATGAATATGTAACGATAATATTCGTTGACTTTTTATTATAAATGGTTGATTTTATGCGAAATTCATTATGTTTTATGTTACAACCGAAATTAGTTTAATAATACTTAAATAACGCTTTGTATAAGGCTTCTGACTGGTTAAATCATTTTAGTAAATGAACATTTTTTAGTACAAAATTTAAAAATTTTTTCAGAAATGTAGCAATGCTGTTATAAATTTTTGTTATATAATATAAAAATCTGTTTTTTTTTCGGTACAACGTTGAATACGTTGAAAACCTCTGATAAATATAAATCTAATATGGACACTTTATATAATTGTAAATAATTTGTGTGGCTTAATAGTTTTCTTTTGTTGCTCCATACGGCAAAAATAATTTTTCTTTTTTTTTTGTTTTCTCTTATTTTGATTAAAACAAAACAAAAAAATCCTTAAAGGAATCACAATTGGATTCTTATGAAAAACAAAACAAAACAAAAAAATAAAATAAGAATAAAAATAAAAAAGAAAAATTGTTTATTTGTTTTTCATTTTTTCCTTTTGTTTCATCATTAACGTGTCCTTGAAATTTATTATTTCTTATTTTTATTTCACTCCCCCATTT